GTCAGCTAAACTCATATCATTGTGGGAAAATTCTACTACCAGTCCTTGATCACCTTACACGAAATAGGGTAAATACATCTCATTGACAATAAACTTGCCTAGCGAAGTGATACAAAGAAACATACAGGCCGTGAAAAGCCGATAGCAGAATGGTGACTATGCAAGAACAGTAAGGACGATGAAGGATTCACAAAAGTGGATCCTGTCTTGCCTGTCTTCCTGCAAACTAACTCAAAAACTACGGCCAATGTTGAGTAAATGGAATATTCAGGTGGTCATGAAGGAGAAATCAACACTTTTTACAAGTCTACTGTATATCATGCGGTGCATGCGATCAGAAATATATTGACGAAAGAGGGAGATAAATTAGCACACGGATGAAGGAACATCAAAAGCTCTGCAGGAAAATGGATATCGAAAGATCAGAACTAGCCGAATACATCGCACAGACTGGACACCAGATCAATTGGAGGGCAACAGCTCCATACGGTGACAACACAAGGAAGCGCAAGATTAGAGAGGTCATTTACATCCTTAGGGAGAAAAATCTAATGAACAGGACATTGGAGGAAGGTAGACTTAGCGATAACTTTGCCTACTGGCTAAACAAACTTGGGTAAAACAAGAATGAAGCAAGACCAGCAAAAAGGATCAAGGATCTATCACTAAGAGGAGGAAAAGGGATCGCGATGCTGAAAGTGGGGGGCGGGGAGTTTCGGCAATCAAGCGAAGACGTTGTCAGTTAATGATGTCCGTTCCGAATAAATCAGTACAACTTTGGGGGCTTAGTAGTCAGGGGGCTGGGCAGACGGATAGGCAAACCGTCACGGAAATTCGGCGTTATGGCCAAAATGTACCATAAATCCACTTGAGATGCCGCATCCGACCAGACATAGACGTCCATAGTTTGCTCAGATAACATGGGTTTAATCAAAGAAAGGATCCGGGAAGGGAAGGCCTGATATCTGCAAGTATGCGAATTAGAGCTTAGGCGCTCAGTGAAGCGGCAGTGTATGTGCTTCTAGGGCCTTGCGAAATAGCTCCTGGAGTGAAATGAACACTGGGACTGGAACCGAGTGAAATGGGTCAACCAGGAAGAGAAGAAACGGATCCACAAGACGATGAAGGGATCCGGATTGGAGGCCCGAGTCGGATAAGCCGATCGAAAGAGAAGGGGTCGGGGTGAATAGCAAGTGTGATGAGGCCACATTAGATTTGCAAAAAAAGGGCACACATTTTGACGAGTGGAATGTAAACAAGTGTGATGTTGTGAAAGGTCGACAGTGAGATTAGAGACCAGAACAGAAAGAGGAGTGATAGTGTAACCGTTTTCGGCTTCACGTGTCTCTTTGACGAGTTCGTAGCTTAGTGCGGAGAATGTCAAAACTGACTGATGATGCCGACTACGATGCCGGCGAAACGTTTGAGAATGTACCAAGTCCATTGTCTGGTGCTGGGAATCATGACAACTACTATGGCAGACGACTTAGGACTGGATGCGTCCTACTAAGTCAACTTGACAACAAGAGCAAGTCGCGACAACGAGGTCAACCCACTTCTAGATCAAGTGGAGTTTAATTAATATACATTCTGACGAAAAATTGAACTTTTCCGAACACACACAAACAACCAAATGAAGCATCCTGTATAATCAAGTAAGGACCTAAATAAAAAAGCGTAGAATGTTATCATATAAAATGGTGACAAAACTTAAGCATGTTAACTATAGCATACAAAATGAAGTATCAATAAAATGAAACTATCTGGAAATAATTTGTCAGAATAAGCCAATTTAGGTAGTGTATAGTGGTGCGCCATGCAAGTGCATTCTCTACGGATTTGCTTTATTCAGAATTTTATCCAACCATTTTAGTAGAAACCTCGCTGTCTGGCAACCATATTGACCGGAATCTAAAAAACTCAGTTTACTTTTAGGTTTCGCATTAGCAACAGTGAATATATTTACAACTATTTGATTACACAATATCATAGAGGTGCTTCGGTTTTGACTAGTTCTTGTCCTCTATTTACAGTGGCTCAAAAGATATGAAGTAAAACTGGGTTTCGAAGAATACCTTAGTGATATATCGTGGCGTGACTTTCCATTTCGAAGGAAAAGTTGGTTGGAAAGAATTCTTGATGTGGTCTCATCGGAAACCGAAGGAGGGTTGTCGCATAAGGAAGACTGTTGAATTGTGCGAAGAAGTTTTCGGCTCGCCGTCCTACGATCTCGATGAGACTGTGCTAAGTATTCGTCTATATTGTGACAGACATCATCATAGCAGGTATCCATACTTCACGAAATAAAATAAAAGTATACTAAACTAAGAGAAAAAGTGGCTGGCTGCCACCCTAGTCGCATTATTTATACGCCTAACTTAGCGATATTAATGAGGCATCCCATGATTTGGATGGCTATTTCAAACTTATTCTGCATGCTCACAAATGAGGGAAGTTACTTCCCGAACCGGAGGTGCGTTCGGTGGCAGCTGTTTGTTTACACAAATAAACTAGTGTACGATACTCCCACCAAAAGAATATGATATAGCAAAAAGAGGCCTGACCTTCCTTAAAATTCACTTATGCCCTGTGACTCAAGGGTACTCGTGGCAGTGTAGACGAGTGGTTAGCGTGTCAAGCTACCGTCCTGTACTGTCGCGATTCGACTCCCGCTGAGGGTGTCGATAAGACCGATGCGAGGTCGAAACTGCAGTCTACTCCAGCCG